ATTTTTTCTCAGAGTCAACCCCACTGGGAGTTCTGAACCAAGGCTTAAAGCATGGTTGAGTACATAGGAAAAAGCCACAACTTGCTGTAAAACAGACTTCAAATATATTATCTAAAAACAACTCGTTGCAATGACGGTAACTGACATTTTCAGAAGGCGTAAGAGGAAGTTAAGCTGTGGGGTCCTCTCAGTGGAGTCCTGGTGCAATGAGAATGTCCTGAGAATCTCTTGTGGGATTCCATTCTGCTTGGATCAGGCAGCGAATCTGCACAGACGAAAATCCACAATAAGCTCCAGTTGTAAAACAATTCCTTTTGTGCTGGTGAATTGTATTAATACACACGCAGGAGCTCTAAACTGTGCCCTGTTCCTCCTCGAAGTCCTCCTCCTCCATTCTGCGTTGCTCTTACTCAGCATTCTTCTTTCTGTTTTGGTCCTCCGGATGGATGAACCTGGAGGACATCTTCAGTTAACATGAAATTGGTAGTAACAAAAGCTGGAGGGGGGGTTTCTTTGCCTGAGACTCTGGAGAGTTGCCACTATTATAGGAGCCTGTATTGAGCTAGAAGGCCCAGTGGCCTGAGATCCAGGCACGGGACCCTGATGTCCTTTGCAGTGAAGGCCAAAATTGCTCGTTCTGATTCCTGCATGGCCTATTTTAATGCTCTAAAGTTCATGGGGAGGCCAGGTGGATGGAGCAAATTCCAGGGAGAACATCCTGGGGAACAGGACTTTCTGGCTACGGAGGAAGATAAGGATATCCAAGGAAAATGCTTGAGTCGATGGAAGTGAATCATAAGGAAGTGAAAAGTGCCATGAAAACAGATACACGATCACCAAAAATGACCATGAGGATAGAGAAAATTGCTGATTGTGCTTCTGTGCCGGATGTGCTGGGAGGAACTGCTTTTTCCTGTCAGTTTCCCCACTTTCCAAACCAGTCCCTTGGCTCAGTTTTTGCACTGCTGGTGGAAGATTCCAGTGGAGCAAAACCGGGATGTAGAACTGAATCATTTAAGGGCCAGTGACTTGATCAGTGCACTTTTATGTTATGCAGCGGGTGATACCTTGTGCAATATTATTTAAGTAGTACAATTTTGTTTGACAAGAATGTGTGCTTTAATAAGTATTTCATAATTATTTTGAAAGAAGAGCCTGCTTGATTCTGGACTTCGCTGTTTCACTTCAAATTAGTCGTTGTTCCTCCCACTGAAGGGGAACTGGAACATCCGACAAGCCCTAACAACTTGATGGCTTGCCTCTGGAACCGCATCTTGCAGACATTAGTCTGTGATGGCCAGAAGGGACAGTCCCCCCAGGAGGGCGCCTTTCAGACAGGGTTCCAGAGATTTAGTCTTCAAATAAAGATGGTTTTGTGCACCCAGCTTTTGAAACTTCCCTTCCCGCTGGCTGTTCCCGGGTTGGTGTATCTGCTGCTCCTTGGGAGTTTTCGTAACTCTGTATTTCAGTGAACTATTTTCTTAAAAATGTGCTGTTGCTTGGCTTGTTCGTGAAGTTTTAATAAATTGTTGCCATTTGCAATTATGTCACTTTGCAAAAATTCCTTGCTGAGCAGGGTAACACATTTATTAAAGAAAAACAACAAATAGTGATTTTGCTGAGTGGAGAACGATCAAGGAAAGGTTGGTGGCTGTTCCATGCTGCTATTACTCTAATTGAGATAAAATAATTACCAACTGCTCATTATTTTTAAGGGTTTGGATTTGTGCTGGTGTGCTTCATCCTAGCCGCGAGAGCTGGTGCCCCGTTGGGCGTCTGCCTTGGAATCCTTGCTACAAAAGCATTTCCTTTCGGGCTGGCGGAGCCAGAATAGCCGCAGAAGGAATCTCTCTCTCGCACACACATGCGCGCGCGCGCGTTCAGCATCTGTTCCTCCTTCATTTTCCACCAGAATGCCGGCGTTCTCCCGGCTCCCCTCAGGGCTTGCTGTGCTTCCTGGTTCTGATGGGAGGGAAGGTGTTTAATTCACGGCTGGAGAGAGCCTTCCGTCCGCCAAGGTGTTCTGTTGCGACAGCTCCAATAGAAAGCAGAACCCAGTTGATTTCGGCGTGGTTTGCTCAAGAGAAGATCCTGCCCTGCGTGGCTTGCTTAGTCTGCGTTTCCTTAAAAGGCCGGTGTGCCAGCCCAATTACTCATAAAGACACTATCTGGATGTTCTGCTTTTCCAAGGACGAGCCTGTTTGTCTGGACACCGGCTATCCTCTCACCTCCCTCATCCCGGGGTCCAGTAAATCAGTCTCAGCAGCGTACGTGTGCATGAGTTAGAAGAGATACAAGTTGCAACTTATTGGCACTGACATTTGCACTTTCTTCTAAAGAAATTGGGTGCAGGATATGTTAGAGGGTGGGGAGGAGTTTCCTCGTGCAAGAGCCAGGAGTGATAGCTCAAGCATGAATGTGTCCAAAGACACTATTCAGCGCAAGGAGATGCACCCCAGTCCTGCTGGTTGAATCTGACAAGGTGTTAGGCCACATTTCCTAAATGTGTCTCCTCCTTTTTTCACCATGGAAGTCATGGTAGCTGGGGGGGGGGGGGGTGACCTGTTCCACACGGTCCCTTAGTTCGGCAGGACAGCGGTGACAGGAACTTTGAACTCATGTCCTGAGCTCAAACCCTCCACTTTTGAAATCTGCAAGATCGGCATAATAGGCTCCAGGGGAGCATCATCCCAGTGCCCAAGACAGGGGTCAAGGTTTTGCTTGGTCCCCCCGCCTCTCCCCGCCCCAAGCAGGAGGTGCTCCCAGGCATCAGTGGCCTCTCCCACTGAGCACTGCAGCCTTTTCTCCCGTGCAAACCCTTCGTTGCTGGGGAGAAATGTCCAGGATCCAGCGGGATAATTTCCCTGGCCTCTAGCAGCTGCCTCCTCCTGTTACTACTGATTCTGAATTATCAAAAGGGCTAGCTGCAGAATTTATCTCATGATTGTTTTTAATTTTATATTTTGATCTTATTGGCCACTTTTGTTGGAAAGATGGAAGAAAAAGATTTTAAATGAAAAAGGAAACCGTTGGATTCATTCTCGGAATCCTAAAACCAATTCTGTTTCTTGATGCTAAGTATTTACATGTGCCCCAATTGCAATTTGAAAATTACCCAATTACATTCTACAAAAACTGTTTTAAAATCAGTCATTTCATCTTCTAATGATAATAGAATGAACCACGGATAGGCAGCAATCATGACTTCTACATAGTGGATCAATTGAATGGCTGTATTTTCTGGAGTTACCACTTTTTGTTCTTTTTCCATAGATAGAGCTACAAAAGAGAAAGATGAAACAAAAGGAAATCTTTATATTACAACTTTTAGAGAAAATATCTTTTCTCGAGGGAGAGGTAAGCTTTTGATTAACTATCGGAACAGTATTGTTGCTGGTTACACTTGATCATCAGCTTTTCCTGTGTAAAAATGTCTCAGCCTAGATCTGCTTCAACTGGCTTTGAACTACTTTTGTTGTGGTCTTAATTCCGGTGCCTGACTTTGATTTTTCTGAGTTGTATTAGATTGCAAGCCTCCTTGGGCAGGGGCCATCCTCCTACGTGCCTGTACAATTCAGAAGGTTTTGAAGGCCCTCACCAGATATTTGCGTTCAGCCATAAATCTCTGAAAATGCCTCTCAGCTCATTCATTGGTGTTTAGAGTTTGGAACTGGAGGCCAGGAGAACATGGGAAGACTCTGAAGGCAATATCACTTGTATTTCTGCTCTCCCCTTTCCAGAGCATGACAGATTACAATAATTACAACATGCAAAGGATTGAGAGGAAAGTAGCACTTGTAGCCAGCGATATCCAAGCAGCATTTTACCACATCTGTAATGAGATCATACTTAGCTGTTAGGCCCGGTTCTGATCATCCCATGGCAAAAAGATACTCTGCAGCAGGGTTTCCCAATCATGGCAACTTTAAGATGCATGGACTTCAACTCCCAGAACCCATGTGGGCTGGGGAATTCTGGGAGTTTGAGAAACCCTGATCTAGAGCTTGAAAAGGGGCGACAGGGATGAGGGGTTGAAGCAGCTTCCCCACAAGGGAGCTCCAGCCAGTGAGGCTCTGGAGCTTGGTATGAGGGAAGTGGGAGGGTGGAGGCTGATCCAGACTCAGGTCCCTTTGATGTCCTTACAGTCTTGTGGCCTTCCCTCTCCTGAAAACAGGAGAGAAGACTGGGCAGAGGGGGAGTGTCAGCAAAGACCTCTGTTCAAGTTACAGTCCTGGATCTTCCGGGACCCAGAGTGCTGAAACGGCATCTGTACATTGCAACCAAGACCCAAAAGCTTTGTTAGTGGGACAGTGGCTCACCTCTGCAAGGACAGAGTTTCCAGGCTGTGTGGGTTTGAGCGCCAACCCCCAACCCAGGCCAAGACTTCCTCCTCTTCAAGGCTGCTGAGACCTGGCCTGGGCTGAGCCCTTCCCTAGATCACAGTTTAAAAAGAACTCACCCAAGGCCTCTTTAAGGCTGGCTAAGAGACAATGTGGCATCGCAGAGTGCCAGACCTAGACTGGGGAGAGCTGAGTTCCGGTTCTTGCTCAGTCACAAATCTCCCCAAGCCATGCTGGGCCCCTTGCTGTTCCCCCCTTCCAATCTAACCTATCTGACAGGGTCGCTGTGAGGATAAAACAGGGGAGCTCTTTTCTAGGTGCGTATCCTTGCACCTTGGAAGAAAATATGGGAAATAAAGCTTCAAAGAAATTAAAAGCATGAAGCTTCCTTTCGGGAAGACCGCCCCATTCCTCTCTTGTGCAGCAAGGCTTGGGTTTTGGGCAGGGGGATAATGAGGAAGGTGGAGAGACCAGCGGGCTGTGCTGTGCTGTGTGTCTTTCAGAACAAAGAACTGCAGGACCGTTTGGACTACTTGAGGGAGACCAGGTCCAGGCCTGAGGTGGACACCAGAGACGTTGGGGTCGGATGTGACCTCCCCCCAAGGTAGCAGCCTCAAGCCATTCAGGGGGCTCCTTAGCAGACCGCCTCTCAGAGGGAGTCAGGGGGGCTCCTGCAGGGGACACATCTGGGTGCCAGAGGGTCTGCCCTTGCAGCCCTTCCTGGGTGAGGCTGGGCTCCCTGGAAATCAGAGAAGAGGCACTTACTAGAACAAGCTGGCTGCATGCAGTAGGCTGAGGCCCTAGCAACAGGCACAGCCCTGCTTTTCCGGCCTGCTTTTCCGGCCGTGCCAATTTGCAGTTTCAGCCTAGAGGCGAGTCCAGGTGGAAACGTCCCCCAGCTTCTGAGCACAAGGAGGGTGGTTTATGGGCTGTTTCCAGGGCCTCTAAAGCTGCCACAGCATCCGTGTGTAGCCCGTTTGGAAATTTCATTTTGAACTCTACACTGTGTTGCCCTGGGGACTTCTCTTTCACTGTCACGGCAAGTCAAAGTCAGTTCTGCAGCCCAGAGGGAGGGGTGGACAAAGGCACCTCAGCCCGGGCTGGCAACTGCCTGCAAGCTTTCCACAGGTTCTTGTCAAGCCCACCTGAGCTCAGATGTCTGTTGCTCTAGAATCTGCACTCCCAATGTCTGTGTGAATTGTACTGGCTGGAGCCTGGAGGGTGGTGACGGGTCGGCTTCTGTCCCAACAGCCCCGAGAACGGAAGCAGAGCGCCTCCCGAAGTGTTGAAGCCAGCCAGAACCTACAGCCCGTTCATGCGGGTCCTGGAGTATTCGTCAAAGCACAGCCTTTTGAGCCCAGCGCCCCCCGCGAGGGAGGTGGCGCCCGGCCCCTGCCTAGCTCAGTTGGCAGATGGGGCAAGCAGAGAGGGCTGCTCCTGAGCCCCTCAAGCACTTGGGGCATCGGGTCCCCTGGGAGGGGAGCAAATGCCCCGTTGCTTCTTCAAGGGAAAGCAGCGCTTCACTTGGAAGGTGCCACGCCAGAGGCTTCCATCCGGGAATCCTGGCCGCGAAAGGAAACGAACCCACTGAACTTCATCCAGGACAGCAGAGCTTTGTGCTCCCCTTGGCAAAGTAGCTGTTGCAGAGTTCCTCCGCTTCTGGTGGCAGCGTTGCAGCCCAAAATATACTGCCTTGTGCCAGGGACATGTGCTCATGGCTCTGTCATGCTGGCCTGGACCTGTGATGCTCCTCGGGCACAGTGCAGGAAGAGAGGGAGGGCGCAGCTGCCAAGCAAGAACGCCCATGTCCTCCTCCGTGTGTATGTGGGGGTGGGGGGGTAAAAGTTTGGCCGGCCCAGCTTTCTGAGCTAAGCGCACGTGGTGCCCCAAGTCGGAAATCTCAGAGCGGCTGTGCCTGTTCGGGCAGAGGAACCTTCCACATCTGCCTTTCTGCCGGATCCAGGAAACACCCCATTGGGTCTTACATGCAAATATGTGCAAGATCTTACATTTCTGTTGTAAATCCAATCCAGATTTTTAAACAACGAACGGCATTGTTTATATATGTAGATTTCCTAAGCATTTCTTCCCTAAGATACTGTATTTTAAAGGAGCGTCCTGTGCACAGACATGTGAACAAAGAGTCGTCGTTCTTGGCGGATTGCGCTGGGACGGCCTCTGGCCCAGAGCAGGCCCGGGGGGAGCCCGCGACCTGCTTTCCGGCGTCTCCCAGCTTCGGGGTGGCGGCCCTGGGGTCTCTGGCTCCGGGGGCGCCCCTCGCATCAAGACTGGGAATGGCCGCAGCGGCTAACGGTCTACGGGAACAGGCGG